CACTGATAAAAAAGAACTATTTCAATTTCCCATTGCTACTATGTAATACATTTGTAATCATGTGCCTCATTAATTCTCTCAAAATGAAATGTCATTGTAAAAGATGTCTCATTCATTCATTTTTCAATCTAATCCTAATCACTTTCATTGAACTGCTCATCAGGAATTTTTATGTGAATTTCAAATAACCTAGTCTTCAGATTCTGTGAAAAGTCCACTAAATTCGCATCTTTAAAGCTAAAGAATGTAGAGCTTAGGTTGATTTGTTCTTATACCAGTGCGCTTTTTAGATTATATTAAGTTTGCTTTTTTCTAAACCTACCTTGTTCTTTGAATTGCCGTCGATTGATTCAAATTTACCAAATTTAAATTTGTCCCTCTAAAATAAGCTCTCAATTGAAGTTTGCCATTGTCAGCAAGTAGCTATAGATCACCTGCAACATTTCAGTACAACCTATGTACATTTTTTGTGCGGTGTTTGATTGTCCACGAGCAAAGACAGTCAGCAACTATATTTACGTATGCTTTATTACTGTATTTTCCCAGAAAATAGTTTAGAATTCCAATTACAACATTTGTTAATTAAAAAAGGGCGATCATGTAGAAATGGATGTGTGTGCATACTGGAACCATGAGTTGACTAAAGAAAAAGAGAGTGGAAATAGCATAATTGTCATAATCGTAACCAGCGTTTGAACCCCTTGGCTGCAATTTTTTAGGTTCGTATAAAATTTAGAGATATAATGAGATCATTGAGACTTGGCTCATTGGCTTCACCGGCCCTTTTAGGATTACAAAAGCACCGCAAAAGTTAGAGGAATCACATGTCGCTTCAAAATATTTAAAACTTTAGCAGTTCCCTTGGTTTCTGAACGTTGCAGATCAAGACAAGATGATGTCATAACGGTTATCAACGTTTCGATTACCTTTTTGCACTTTCACAGCTCAAAGTAAGGATTGACCATCAGGAAACCAGTAAAATTAATATTAAATAAAATTAGTGATGTCTCTACAGTGTATGTTGCGAAGTTGGTTCTTCTATTACATATACAGGGGTATAGAACTATGTTTATTAAATATGTAAAACATTGTTTTATGTTATAGTTAGATCTATTTATATCTACATGCATTATAGAAACAGCAAATGCATTCGCGTCCATTAGTAGAGGGAAAACCAGCTCCATCAACCTGAATTTGCATTTTGAACTACAGTAATCAAAAAAGAACCAAATAGAAGTACTGCTGTTAGTCCAGCAGCCAGCGCAGTTGATTGACAGCATCCAGCGCAACGATCTTTTGGATCTGCTCCATTTGCGGTGCATGTCGCCGTCGTCATAACTCCGTCAATGCTCACTCGAAATTGCGCCTTCCTTGTGCACGCTAAACCCAGGTTGGTAAAGAGAACCTCTGCACAATGTATTTGGTCAAATTATATATACATTACCTAATTGAAAAGTTTAGGAAATAGAAATAAGCATAATAGATCATGTGTTTTTCCAACTCACTATCTGCTAAATCAAAAATCTTATATTTAACCCCATAATTCCTACGTTTCCCAACATGAGCTAACAACAAGTTAAGAATATGGGATTTTTTGCGAGCAAATAAAAGTATTCAGAAAGTATAGTGCAAATGAACCGCTTCTTACCACTTATCGAATCCTCTTAATAACAAAGCCGTATTGAAGAAGTCATTTCTCCTCTTAAAACCACTAAACTACAAAAAACCCTATTTAGGTTTGCTTCCTGATACCTAAATTTTTGAAAAAAAAATTCAGTAGGAGCTTACTGAATCCACAACTTAAAGGGTTCAGGATTGCTGGCTGCTGTACTGGTTGCTGCCATTGTGCACATGCAATCGACAGTAGTGCGAATAGAGCAATGAAGCGGAGCATAGTTAGGTAGGGTTATCGGATTAGGTAACTAAACTACTAAACTATATATGACCTTTTGCTGATTGGAGAATAAAATATCTGTGAATTTCTGGCCCAGGAAATGATTACAGTAAAGATAAGAACATCTTAGCTCGAATTACTGAGCAATGGAGGAAAACAAGACAGTAACATGAAAGAAAAGTGATGCTGGAAGTGACTCCTTTGCTATTTATACCCGGCGTTCGTAGGAGGACGAGGAACCCTATGGATTGGCAGATCATTTTGATGCGCGGTGGGGAAGGGGCCGAGGTTGTTCGTCTTCAATTAAGAGTTCAAAGTGATTCAAGACCTGATTTAGTTAAGTTTCATATAATTATCGTTTCTTCCACTTTCATTCAACCTGCTTTATAGTGGAATGAACGCTTTACTGTGCCGCAGAATCTCATGGCTTTGTAGCCCTTCTTGGAATAAATGTGCTCTAGGTCAAAGCTTATCGATATCATATATCAAAGCGATA